TGGGAAGAAATTTATTTAGAACAGGTTTGGTAAATTAAAGTCGCGTGACGAGTTGAGATGTTCTTACTTCTTATTATTTTAAATTGTAATTGCCTTTAAATACCATTTTCTTTTACAGAATTCATTATTTCATTTAACGTAAAATGTACATAAAATCATACTATAGAATAATTTGGTCAATAACGCGTGTGTGGTAATTTTATTGTTGTTGATTTTGTAAACTTTGGTTGCTATTTAATATAAAATTAAGAAAACACATCTGCTTTGAATATATTAATATTTTATTTAAAATGGATAGTAAATATGTAAATGTTCATCTCTAAATAGAATTATGAATTAAGAGGACGTCACGCCCACATGTGTTGTCTCCGTCTTACAAATGTACAACACAGCAAAAACTGTTTTGCGCGGTACAACTTTTAACTTTCTGTGTTTGTAGCAGTGGCTCCAAAATTTCTGAACATATAGAGTGGAAAATTATCTATGCAATAGCGTGTCTATATTTTAGATAACATAAACACAATAAAAGTTATTTGCTTCTAAACATTTTATTTTTTTGTTTATTTCATATGCTTATAAAAAATGATTTTATTGTGTAATTTAAAAAAAAGCACGCTATTGGACAGGTAAAATTCTTCTTCACGTGTTGTAAAAATTCGGTAGTCCTACAACAAATACGGTGCAAGAAAAGTTGTCCTGCTCAAAACAATTTTTGCTATGTTGTACATTTGTAAGACGGAGACCACACATGCGGGTGTGACATCCTCTTAAGATACTGAAATAATTCCATAAAATTATTTTCAGTGAATTAATAATATTTAAAGCTTATCATTTTCTAAATCATAGGTATGTTATTACTCTTAATTACCTACTCTAAGAGATTCATCTTAAAAACAGTTTTAAGTACTTACGACCTACCAACACATTTATGTAGGTGTAAATCATAATTTTTTTAAAAATATAATGTGATAACTTGTAGTCAAAACCTTTTTTAAATTATGTTATATTTGGTGGAAATCCAATGTCTAAATAATTACTAAGTAGGTAAAAAAAACATTAGAAATTAAAACTACTGTGAGGCATCAACATAGCTAAGCGGACATCGGGGGCTTAGCCCCCTAAATATTTTGATAGCCCCCCAAAATTGAAACTTTATTTGATATGTTATTCGTTTCAATAATTATCGATTCATTTTTTTTTGAAAATCTTAAAAAAATATTTAACCAACAAATGGTCGAATTCATTTAATTTACGAACACGCGGTCACGCGGATATCCGACAGACGACGTGTCATCGGTCAGCGGGTTGCGGGATCACGACCGACGTGACATTGTAACGTTATGACGATAGAAACGCCTCTCACGTGCCGCGCTGACATTGTGATAATAATAATAATTAGTTGATAAAAAATGGTTTCGGTTTCAACGTTTTTGTAGTTAAGACAGTTAATTGTTAAATACAAGTGTATATGTATACAACTAATAATATCTCAAGAAATTATTTGTTAAGTTCACTGTTCGGTTGACTTGTTTAAGATGTTGAGTGTTTTGATTTTTGAACATGGCAATTATTTTTAGTACTTTTAATGTGAAAAAAAGATCTTAAAGAATTATTCATATTTCAAAAAGTTTTGTCTAGAGTTAACACTTTAACGAATAAACTACAAGAGAATATAGTAACTTTTGGAAAAACAAGCAATCTTTTAAAAGGTATCATTGCTTTTTTTGAAAATTTAAGAACATCTGTAGGGTTTTCTGGACTTTGGAGTGAGATATCATTGTTTTTGAATGAACATAACATATTGATTGAAATTCCATCCCTAGGTAAATATTAAATATTTGATATAGGTACAGATGATAAAATTAATTAATGTTTCAATTTTATGCTTACTGTCATATAGGATCAAAAAGAAAAATAATGGGGCCAAAAACTTAAAAAAATTATATTGCCAATACATCTACAATCTACTAGTGACCAATATATAACTAATGAAAATACAAAAGTCTATTGCAGAAGATTATTTCAGGACTAATTTTTTTTTATACTATCTTTAATATATAGTTACTACAAATTTAAAAAAACGATTTTTGCCAGAAAGTTTCATGACGGCTTCATCCGTGGATCATTTTTTCAATCTGAATATTAATGATATTCTTCATTTCATTAGCCATTATCATGTAATTATGTAAATATCTAAAATTATATTTTAATATTGATTCATAAACGACAGTATTCATAAATTCATATATAATTATTAATATATTATTTTATATTTATATTTAGTCTCTAATGGATGTGTAAAAGAATGTAATTCAGAAATGACAGTGGCAAAAACTGATGTAGTTCAAAATATCGTTTCTAATGTGAATATTAACATAAAAGAAGATGTTATACGAGTTTTGTTAGAAAACCCAACATTATTCCTTAATTTGCAAAAACTATTTACAATAGCATCAACGATACCAATCAGTTCAGCTACTTGCGAAAGAAGTTTCAGTGCAATGAGAAAAATAAAAACTTGGCTAAGGACATCGATGCTTCAGAATTGGTTCAGCGATTTTTCTATTCTCTATATTTGAAGATATGTCTAAAAATATAAAAAGCAATGATATTTTGAATATCTTTGCTGATAAAATAGATATTTGTTATTAAAATAAAATATTAATTATTTTCAAATATACGTTATTTAGTGTTTTCTTTAAATACAACTCGAACATATGTATACTTTTATCAGTAATATGTTTTCTTTATGCATGGGTAGGGGGTGTGGGGGTGAAGTCCCCGCGGGTCACTTTACATTGGATCATTATAGCCTCCCTAAAAAATGCTATCCATGTGTTTGTTGTCTTCGTCTTACATACGTACGACAGACCATTTTCGTTCACTAGTTTCAATAGTGGTTGTTAGTTTTGATATTACAGTGAATTGACTTGTTATCAAACTTTTAGGTAAGAACATTATCTACTCTCAAGCGTCACCCATTTTTTCGATATTGTAATTTTCTTGTAAGAAACGGGTATGTAAAATATTTCAAATTAAAAATGCTCATATCTCGCTTGAAAATTAAAATACCTAATAAAAGCTGACACTTAAACAAAGATAATTTTCTTACCTAAAGGCTAAAAGTTTGATAATAGGTCAATTCACTATGATATAAAAACTAACAGCACACTATTGAAACTAGTGAACGAAAAATTACTATATTGTACGCTTGTGACAGAGACTACAAATGCATGGTTAGCGATGTAGAGTCGTCTTAAGTATATCACCAAAACTTTTATCTTTATTGTATTATTTTAAATAACCCATTGTTTTAGTTTCAAAATTGCCCAACTGGCTGTTAATTAATTAATAAATAAATACAATTTAATAAATTATCTACATATTAGATTGAGAAACTCAAAATCCTTAAGAAATGTTTAACTTTTGTGAAGATATTATTTTTATATAAATCAATTTCATTTCAAAACAATATTTCTGAAAAAAATTTGAATTTTTTGTCATTTACTTTTTTGAATGACACCATAATTTTTAATTATATATTCCGAAGCAGGATATTATTCGCATTATTTCATTCTTTATAAAGATCAAATTTTGGACAAGTAGTTCTTAAGTTGTAAATATTTTGCGGGGCACCCCTGTACTCCGTTCGTGTTCTAATCCGCTAACTAAAAATTTAAATGCTTATAAGTTATAAATAATGAACTACTTGCCTTAAATTTGTTCTTCATAGATTGAAATACTTTGAATAATATTCTGCCTTAGAATATGAAATTAAAAATGTATGGTGTAATTTAAAAGAGTAAGAAACTTATAAAAATAAACCGATAAAAAATAGAGAGTCGTATAAAGAAGAAATATAATTTTTTTCAGAAACGTTGTTATGAAATATCATCATAAGCAAAGTATTTTCAAAAAAATATGAAAATTCGAAGGTAAAACTTATGAAAGCATTGATTTTTGTTATATTTTAATAAGATCAATTTACTTACATGTTTAATCTTATACAGAAGCATTTTTAAAATTTTATTGTATTGATTTTTTTTGGGTATTTGAATGTGTGATTAATTAGGTAAAACATGAATTAAATTGCAGTGAAGATATTTTGCCTAAATTAATGGAACAAGTACGTTTGCCATTAGTATCAAAAAATTACTTACAAAAAAAAGTACTTATAGAACCTCTTCTCAATAAAAGTTATAAATGTGTGTTGTTTTCTTTAATTATGCCTTTGTTATGAATCTTTTATCATTATTAAATTTTTTAGGTAAAGATTATGTGATTGAAGCATTAAATTTTCATTTACTTAAGACAGAACCGCTTTGTAATATTTCACAAACATTTCGCTGTCAACCTGCTGCATTACAAAAAGTCTGTTATTGTGACAAATTATGTATCTCAACAAATATTTTATTTTATTAATTTTCACAGGTTATTTTAACGTTTTCTTTTGTTGCTAATGAAGTAGATTACAATTTAAATTGGTATGACCCATTATTCATTAACAATCAAATGGCACTCAGTACCAAAAATGAATACATGTTGTGTAAATGCCAAAGCCCAAAAGTGATATAATCATAACAAAAGATAATTTTTTATTGATTTATCAATACAATCACCAACTTGGATACTAAACATTCCTATGTTATTGTATCGAAAACATTTTGTAGTTGATGTAATTGATTATTGTATATACATAGTAAGTTACCTATACCTAAACACTAATTATTAATTGAATACTATAAGTATCTTATATATCCATATCCAAGGTTGGCGGAACGTCTATTTATTTTACATCAACATATAACAAAGTAGAAGTTGATGATTTAAGTATTCATGAATGGAAAGTGGTATCCACTATGACTACTTAAAGAAAAATGGTTGAAGTTGGAGTACTTAACAATTTTTTATATGCTGTAAATTAATACTTGATTTCATTGTTTTAAATAATTAAGCATTAATTGATGTAATTCAATCATTTAGGTAGGAGGCCTCGAAGGTTCAAATATTTTTAATAGTGTTGAATGTTATGATCCTAGTCATGATTATGTAGTCAATATTGCTAAAATGTTTTATCGTCGCTATGGTGCGGGCGTAGGAGTTTCAGACGGTGTTCTGTATGCAATTGGTGATTCTAATGGATCAGTGGTACTTATTAGTGCTGAAATGTATAGACTAAGTGACGAAGAATGGTCTTCTATTTATGATATGAATCTTTCCCGATATAGGCCTGGTGACTTATAATTTTTTCATATAAATTTATTGAATTTTAATTTATATTTTTTATGTAGTGGTAATTGCATTAGATGGTTTAATGTATGTGAAGAGTGGAGTCAAATCTGCTGCTTCTGCCAACATAGAAATTTACAACCCTAAAATCGATACATGGGAAGTCATGGAATTTGACGAATCTGACGTGTTTCCAGGTTATAAGATTTATGCTGGTATGGTTATTAATGGGCCATCACATTTCAAGACTAATTAGAACAAATATTTATGCTCAGTCGCATTATGGAAGTTAAAATCAACTTATTTATGTTTAGTTTATAATAAATTATATTTTTAGGTACTATTTTTCTATCTAAGAATCTAAGGATGTTGAATTAAATGGTTTTTATTTGTATACATTAATTAAAATTGTTTATTTTTAAATTAAATCAATTAAACAATTTCTACAACAAATTAGATTATACTATCCCTAGATTATTTCTTTTATATTATTATCTTTTGTTACCAATATATTGTACAGGATTGTATTTGTTTATGTTATTTGAATTTACCATGATCATATTTTAGATCTTTTTTTAACTTATAATAGTCTTATTTATGTGTGCGCTTTGAATTAATTTGTCTCTTTCTGATAAATAACGTTCTTTATATTTATAGCACAAATTATCTAATATACATATATACATTAATTTTATGTGCTATATATTAACCTACTTAACTGGGCACCTATATCTTAATTGGGGGTTTAAAACCATCCCAGTAGTAACGAGTCCATTCCATCTTGTTCTGTTGAATAAATTATACACACACCTACATGTTACATCTATAGTATATTATTTAAGAGTAACAACATAATTTGAATGGGAATACCATATTTTATAAGTATAGAACCTTGATTTCATCGCATAGGCCAAAGTCCATCTTTTTCTGTGTGATCTTAGATAATGTATTCCAAGTACATAATTTGTTTCATGAAACAGAATAACCTACTTCAACAATGAAACTTTTATTTTGCGTTTTTTAGTATTTCTCGGTAATTTTGTTAGTTTTAGTGTAAAATTGTTCATTATATGACTTACTTCGTTAAATTTAACTCATTTATAATATTATCTAAAGATAATATTTCATTAAATTCTTTTTCTTGATGTTTAATAATTTAGTTCAATAGGTTTTTCGTATTTTTCTATTTAAATTATCAATCGTTCTGTAATACGCCACCGCGTCAATCGATAAAATTCACAAAATTGTTCAAGTTTCAATTTATTTTTTTAAATTAAATATTTAGTTTATTATTTTTAGTTTGTTGTACATTATATATTACGTGGTGGTACTTAAACAATTGCAGAAAAAAATAATTTTATATGTCAATTTTTAATGATATTATTTTGGTAATACGCGTTTGGGCTCTTTGTTAGATCATTTTTTGATGATTTAAATAGGGTTTAAATCTGGAACTATCGATGAGAGAGTCTGCAGTCAGTTTATAATTTTTAAAGATTCACCATAGTTCGTAGCCGTTGAATCCTATGCATCTTGAATCTTTAGCACTCCATGGCCCATACGACCAAGCATGGATCCATAGGCGCAACTAGTGCTAAATTTTAAGGGGTGCTAACATTATGTATACTAGTATACTTATTTAAGTTATTTCATTAACGGGTTTGTTCCCCGCGGCCCACACACAAAACATAAATGTCGAAATGATTAATAGGTTACAAAGTTCTATTATAACTTAATCATTATGACCTATTTAATTGTATAATATATTGTATATTTACAAAGTAAATAATTGTCTTACTAGTTGTTGTATTATAATACAATATTTTAAAAGTTATAACAAATAGAAATTACAAAGTTTGATATTGGTTGCTAGAAGTATAATGTATTGAATATTATTTTAAACCTATTTTCCTTGTTTTGTGATTCTGTTTTTATATTACTTGCAACAACCATTTTCATATTTATAATGGACAAGTCAGTAAACCTTTGCTGTAGCATACTTGCGTTCTCAATTAATTTTTAATTTGTTGCATACTTGAAACGTATGTCACTACTTATTGGTATTTAGTATCATTGTCACTGGTCATTGTAATTTTAAATAACTTGTTTATGTTAAGAAAGACTTATTTTGGATCGTTTTTTTTTTTTAAATGAAAATGTCTGATAAAAAAATTCTCATATAAAATGAAATCTCTCGTTTTCACATTATTTGTGGTATTGCTGAATAACAGTAGCCGGGGGGTGATGAATTAGAGCTTGGGTATGCTAAAGCTCCCCCACGCACTCCTCCCTTGTTGCGCCCATGTACGGATCCAGATCACAGTTCTAGGGGGGGGGGGGGTATAGGTATATTCACATAAATAGTATTTTATGCCTATCTAAGTATTATATTATATAGTGAAGATACATAATAGAAACTATTATAGTTATAATAGTATTACATAATTTATATTACCTATAGACTATAGTACTCCTATCTATACTATATTATTATTGTATGTATTATCATAGGTACTATTTTCATTTAACAAGTTGACTGCCAGAGTATTTTTACAGGGTTGTCCTCACACGCCATGAGTACCAATACTGGTACTCACTGGTTTCGTCACGTACGCCGTTGTATTTTTAGACAGCTTACACCATAGGCCTTGGGTTTTTTTTCATATTTATAATAATTTTTTTATCTTATAAGCTTATTGGTATACTTGTATGTTTATTTAAAGAAAAATAAACCGATTCCGTGCGAGTACCAGATATGGTACTCAATGCCTATAGTATATTATTATAGCCCATACTGTCTAGAGAGATGTATTAATGTTATCAACTAAACACAACGATAACGTTATAGAAACTACTAACAAATATGGTAAAAAAATTGTTAAGCCAAAAGTTGTAGTTGACTACAATAAAGCCAAAGCATTTGTGGATATTTCGGACTTAAGGGGATCATANATCAGTATTTTAAAAAAATATTTCTATTGAGCGGAGTTTATTGCGCAGAAATTTGCACCTGAAAAATACCGAGCGAAATTTACAATTTTCCCTTCGCTGAGCTCAATTTACGTTTTTCCATATCACTATGGTGCGTCAGTTCAACCAGAAAATACAATTTCAAAATTCTTGGAAGAACTCAAGTCCATCTTTATTTGCCTAGTGCTACCTACCCTTATTTAAGGTAAAACACGATTGACAACGGATAATTAAACAATCTTCCGCAGTCTATACAATTTCCGTTCTATAATAATAACACAATTTGCCTTTTGAGTATACTTTTGTTATTTTATTATTTACAACTTTTCACATTAATATACAATGTCTACAGTGTCAATGATACTGTCTGACGTCTGTACTACTCCATTAATGTTGGGTTGTATGAACAATTTCTAAACATTTAACGTATTGATATTGCACATTTTTTAGTGAGCTAAAAGGTCACTTTAACATGATTTAAATCATTAGTATTTAGTGAATGGTCCATTCAATTTTATTGAACGATTATATTAGAACATTTTTCATGCAAACTGGCATAAGTATTTTTTTTGTACATATTACCTATATTCATAAATCATAGGTGTGCTCAGGAATTTTGAATGGGAGGGGTTGGGCTCAACTTTTTAAAATATAATATAGTCAATAATGCTACACGTAATGACGCTCCAGCTCCAAACAAAAACATAAACGATCTTACGCCAATATTACAGGGCGCTTATAAATTGCACCCACATAGAGCAGGTAATAAAAATACTATATTGAGCCCTGGATTATTTGGTTTCTAAAATAGGTATAGTAAATTATATACTTGATATGTATTATATATATTTTAAAATACTGTTGTTCAATTGTTGATGGATAAATGTTTGCCAAACGTATTTCGCTTAATCGCTTAATTTTATATATAAAATATTATAGTTCCAATCTAAAAATGTGCATGAAAATTAATAGTTTAAATGATCCTGATAAATTTCAAAACACCAAATCAAAAAATAATGGAAAAAACTATTCAACAATATAATGAAAACACTATTACGAGGGCTGAATATATTGTGTAGATGATATCTTATTACTATGATGATATATAACTTATATCACTATTAACTAAATATTATATAATTTACCTGATTTTTTATTGTTATTTACTACATTAATTATCATATTATAAAATATTTAAAATAACCTATTGATTCCATATTCCATAATAAACAATTTTTATTAACTAATTTATTTATTTCAAGCAAACCAAAAAATCAATTTTGGAGGACAGTGATAGTCGCCTCCTCGTGGCGTCCTCTGGGTAATGCTAAAAATGCTAAATCAGTATTTTAAAAAAATATTTCTATTGAGCGGAGTTTATTGAGCAGAAATTTGCACCTGAAAAATACCGAGCGAAATTTACAATTTTCCCTTCGTTGAGCTCAATTTACTCAGGTATAGTATATTGAATATTTCTAAATGTCACTTATAAAAGTTATATTTACTATTAAGATGTTTGAGTTTTTTATTTGTGCCAGCGCACAAANAACATTATGAATTAAAATTAAATGTAAGTAGTGTGTGCATATATATTTGTTAAACGTTCATTAGAAAGCCATGTTAAAATATTTTGATGACAAAATCAGGAATGCCATGTAAACATGATAATAATATTATACTTACGTAAAATCATATTGTAATAATTTTAATCATTAATGTATCATATCTTGGAGAGAAAACAATTTTTCCATTGTCATAACTCATAATATAGGTATTATATTTTATTATTCTGGAGGGCGCTAATATGTAGCTATTCTTTATAAATGCCAAAAAATAACCACAAATAATATATATTATTTATACATTTTCTTTATGAAAAATGTAGTACTCGTATATATAGATAGGTAGGCACCATCACATTATATATGTTATACATTTGAAAACAAACCTAATTATTTATGATGTATTTACTTTGTTTTATATAGGTACGCTTATAACGGTAATATCGTTAGGTTTATTGATTTTTTTCCCTGGTAAGTATATATATATATACACTGCCATTAGCCATACATATAGATAAACGATGGTAAGAGAAATATTTGAACGATTTAGTAGATTAATTTGTAAAATACAGGGTGATCCATTTAACTTAAGATACTCATTATTTCAGAAAACGTATTAACTTTTTTGAAAATACTTCTGTTACATGATTTTAAATCGTTATAAAACACCGAGTCTGAGAAAAATAATAATTTTACTATTTTCTAACTTTTTAAAATGTTTTTC